ACTTAGACTGGTTTTGAACAGAAAACAAGGACTTAAATGGAAACTCCAGTTCATTGAATACAACATGCCTTGAGATGTATATTTTTCCTACTGAGTTCAGATATTTGTAACCTTTATGAGATTCACTGTAACCAAGGAAAACACATTTTGTAGAGTGAAAGGTGAACTTATGTTTTTGGTAAGGTCTCAAGCAAGGATAGCAAGCACACCCAAAAATCCTTAGTGCCTTATAATCAGCTTCCTTTTTATGTAAGGTTTGGAAAGGGGATTGCATTTTGAGGGTAGGTGTAGGCATCCTATTTATGAGATAAGTGGCAGTCTGGAATGATTCCCACCAATATTTCAAGGGCAATTTAGCTTGAGCTAAGAGGGTTAGGCCTGTTTCAATTATGTGTCTGTGTTTTCTCTCTATTCTCCCATTTTGAGTTGATGTGTAAAGACAGGGGTGTCTAAATTTGATCCCTTCTTGTGTTAAGAAGTTTGTGAATGTTCTATATTCTCCTTCCCAGTCAGCTTGTAGAGTTTTTAGTTTGCTTGCAAACTTGTTTTCAACTAGTTTCTTGAATTGAATGAACACATTTAGTGCTTCAGATTTTTGTTTTAGAGGATAAATCCATGTAAATCTGCTGAAATCATCTAAAAAGGTTATGTAGTATTTGAAGCCTGAAGTTGATTGAATGGGTGCTTGTCCCCACACATCTGTGTGTATTAGTTCTAAAGGTGATTTGGCATGTGAGGTGGATAAGGAAAAAGGTAGTAGATGAGCTTTGCCAAGTTGACAGGCATCACAGAATGATTTGATTTCATTTTCTTTGAACTTTTGATTACAAGTTTTGAGACTTGAGACACCACTTGACTGGATGGATGTCCAAGCCTCTTGTGCCATACATTAATTTGGGAATTTAAAGACTCTTGACTAGGACTGGTAGAGGATAGGATGCAGCAGAGTTTATTAGAGAGAGCTAACTTCTTAGAGTGACACTTGGGCTCCGTTTGATTGCACGAAATTTTCCATGGAACTTGGAATTCGAATTCCAACTTCCACTTTTGACCTGTTTGATTGAGAAAATTTTTCAGGGAATTGATTTTCCATGAATTTCTAGGTACAACACCTTAAAGCGTGATTTTCCACCTTTTTTTTCCTAGGGGATATGTGGTTTTTGGTTTTCCACCTTTTTTTATTTTTTTATTTTTTGCTTTTTTTACAAAACAACAATTAGAATGAAATTCCATATAAACTTGATTGTCAGATGTTAACTGTGAAACACTGATAAGATTTTTCTTAATCTCAAGAACATGAAGCAGTTTGTTTAACACAAGTGGTCTATCATTTAAACTTGGGATGTGAGTTATACCATAGTGTGAAATGTGCAACTTGTTTCCATGTCCAACCATGATTTTCTCCTTACTAGTGTATTCATTGACTGCAGTAATGTTTTCCTTTTCAGCAGTGATGTGGTTACTAGCTCCTGTATCAGCAAACCAGGCAGGATCATTCAAGGTGCTGGGAGATGCTATGAGTGCTGTTGGTGAAGGGCTGTAGTTAATCCTCTGGTTTGGATGTGTTCCAGTGTATCTTTCATCATATCGAAAATTGCAAATGTTAGCCTTATGTCCAATCTTACCACACACTTGGCATATAGGTCTGTCACCAACATTAAAATTTCCACCCCTGTTTCTGCCTCTTCTTCCACTTCTGAAATTATTGAAACTTGAAGGTCTTCTACCAATACCTGGCCTGTAGTATCTGATGTGTTGATGATTGGGGCCTGATCTTTGAGGAAAAATTTGCTGATTTTGATCAAGGTTGATCCCTGCCATCTCATTCCTGACTGTGTTGAGGTGTTCAAGTCTGCTTTCAAAAGTCATAAGTGTTGATTGTAGTTCTCCCCAAGAGATGTGATCTTTGCTATTAATTTGAACAACAATTGGTGTATATTCTTCATCTAAACCAGCCAAGACCTGAGTGACCAGATCATATTGAGGAATAGTTTTGCCAGCAATTTCAAGATTATCTGCAAGCAGCTTCACTTTGTTCAAATATTGGTCAATGCTCATGGTTCCTTTCCTTGATTTCTGAAGCTCACCAGTAAGAAATGTTATCCTGGACCTGTTTTGAACTCCATAGCTCTCCTTTATGGCAGTCCACAATTCATTGGAGTTGGTGGCACCTATGACTCTCATGGCTATATCAGGAGTCATTGAAGAGTAGAGCCATCCCATTAGAAGTTGGTCTATTGACATCCATTGATTATATTCTGGATTTTTGGTCATTTCAACACTGGCTCCACCTTCACCAATAACTTGAGTGCCAATAAATTCTTGAGGGCACACCTTTGTCCCAGAATATAGCCTTCAAGGTTGTGTCCACGAATGATAGGCAGAATCATATTTTGCCATAGCAGAAAATTGTTTTTGTCAAGCTTGACTGACACTACTTGGGTCAAATTCACACCAAGGGGTGAGAGATGGTTGCTTCCCTGCATTGGAGCAACAGTATTGCTTGAGGTTAATACAAGAGTAGAGTTGGGTTCAGTGCTTTGTGGTGTATTACCAGTGTTGGCCATGAATTGGCTCTGATACCAAGTTGAAATTCAGAAAAATGTTGAATGGAAATTTACAATGTATTTCATTGCTTCAGCATCAGTAAATATATAATACAAGAGAGTGTACAAAAGAATATTCTAGATTTCTACAGCTGTAAGTTAGTTCCTTAAATTATGGAATATGTTAGGAATATATTGATAACAGAAATCAGAGTGGCAGTATTCTGGTGAAACGGAAGATGAGACAGCAAGGATGAACAAGTGCTGATACTGTGATTTGTTGTCAACTGAGCTGGAGGCTAATGTATATATCAATTCTTGACAGGTTCACACAAAATATTCAACAGAGAAAAAGTCTTTTATCACTGGCAGTCTATAAGATGAAAAAAGGATAGATTACTCAAGACTTTAAAGTCCCATGTAACTAAGGACGATTTTAAAATTTCTCGTGTCCGTAAGTTTCCGTGAAGACTGCTATGAAATGAAATAACCGGTACCAGGCATACTTATGAAATATTTCTGTCACTTGAATTTCTTTAGACCAGTTACTGTATTTAAACCTTAGACAACACAATCTCATTCTATCGTCTCATGCAGAAATTGACGAGTACATCATCTTGTTGATTATGAAATTCCATGTATGCAGAGATTTCTTTCTATTTTGCACAAGTTTTACCTGTAATCTCGACTTTTCAGGATTGCATTCTAAAATGTGTGTAATGAAGTTAATGAAGAATCCAAAACTTCTTCAAGACAAGAATTAAGTTACAAATAACTTTTCGTTCTTGAGAGACAATGTGCTTGACAATCAAATCCTCCAGTTTATGCATTCACGCAACCAGATATTTGAATTGGTAACTCTTTCGTGCTTGTCCTCTATGCAATATCCAATGTTACTTAAACTAACTGATATTCTTGTGCGCATGTGCAAATCGTGAACACTTGTGCATGCGACGACCTAGATGTGAAATATTTTTTTTTATTATAATCGTTTAATAAGATTGTTTTTAAAAAAATCCAGTATGGAAAAAACATCGTTTTGAATTATTTTTCTTAACAACAAAGAGAATATTTAACAAAGGGAGGGAAAGTGGTGCAAACACCCCAGATTTTACAGATTAATTGAGCACAAAAATGTATAACACAAAGAAAATGTGGGATTGCAAAGCAATACAGTTTTCACAAAACATATGCAACGGAAAAAGAGTCTTCCATCACCAACAGTCTATAAGATATTGTTAGGTCTAAAGGTGTCATTGACGATTCTGTGGACAAAAGGACTAAATTGTAAATTTGTAAAAGTCAGGGACTCAATTGTACAATATTATAAAAGTTAGGGACTTAGGGTGCAATTTAGCAAAGCTAGGTGGTAGGGACTAGGGTTTGAGTGTTTGGTTCAAATCAAGGTCGAGGTACCGAAAGTTCACTAGTTGTTCGCCCTACCACCGCTCGAGCGTGAGGAAACAAAATGGTCGTCGCTCGCTCGCCGCTCGATGTTCACTCGATCGAAGTGACATCGCTCGCTTTTCACTCGAGCGACGGTGTTATATGAAAAATCGTATTTTCGATTTTTGGAAAGTTTGACACGGCCTAGGACTCCTAATTGCCCCCAACTATAAATACAAAGGCCGTGAACGTGAAAGAGAGATTGTCATATTGTACTTTACATAGTTATCATCTTCAATATTCTCTCAAGTGATCCAAGGCAGAACTGAACAAGGAATTCATCCATAAACACCTTGTGATTCGAGCAATCCACTATTGGGGAAAACATCACTATTTGTGAAGGTAAAACACCTGGACTTCTTCATCTGTTGAGGAAATGACTCTCTCATTGGGAGATTGAGAGAGGTAGACGACAAGCGTAGGAACTGGACAAGAACAGGAGGTTCTTGGAATTCCACTTTGTGATACGATCAGCTAAAGACCAGGAGATTGTATTGGACAGTAGATTGGGCTGCAGGAGGTAGATCGGGAAGCTAGCAGGAGACTAGCAGTATCTACAGCAGTAGATCGTGAGACTGGAACAGCAGGTCTGATTTGGTACGGAGTTTAGCATAACTTGTACTGGTTAGATTGGTATAGTGGAAACTACTAGCTTGGTCTTGGAGTTTTACCTAGATTGGGGTTTCTCCGTCATCATATCCTGAGTTGTGTTTTGCATTGTTTTATTTACTTTACGCAAATCGACAGTTCAACAGAGAAATTAACTAAACTGTATATTTAAAAACCTAGACAATTAATTAAAGTGACGTGTTGCTTTGATGAATCAATTTCGCAGTGAGGTCGAATAATAAATTAATTGGAACGTTAACTTGGTAATGTCTAAAACTTGAATTTGACGTAACATAACGTTCTCCGTGAATTTCCAATTGGTTGTAGAACGTTCCCTGAACTTTCAAGTGGTATCAAAGCCTAAGTGCGAATCCTGACCTTACATTAGTCTAGATGAGTATGTCGTTGAATGTGCCATCCCACTTTGATGGGAACAATTATGCATATTGGAAGATGAGAATGAGGGCATTTTTGAAATCTTTAGATGAGCGTGTTTAACAGATTGTGGTAAATGGTTGGTCAGCCCCTAGTACCACAATAGATGGTATAGTCACTCTCACCCCTGTCGAGAACTGGTCTAGAGCTCAATTGGATAGTTGTAATTTAAATAGCAAAGCCCTCCATGCCCTATATATGGCAGTTTTCCCCGAGGAGTTTAGGAGAGTGTCCATGTGTGAGCTAGCAAAGGAAGTTTGGGATATTTTAGAAACCACACATCAGGGAACTCATGCAGTTAAGAGTTCTAAGCTGCAGATGTTGGCCACTAGGTTTGAAGAAATAAGAAGGAGAGACAATGAGATGTTCGATGTCGTTTATGCGAGCTTAAATGACATGGTAAATTTGTCCTTCAACCTAGGTGAGAAAATCCTTGAGCCTAAGATAGTGAGAAAGATTCTTAGATCCTTACCTGAGTGTTTTAGGCCTAAAGTTACGGCAATTGAGGAGAGTAAGGACATAGACACTATCAAGGTAGAGGAGTTAGTTGGATCCCTCCAGACCTATGAATTGACCTTAGACAATCAAGTGAAGGAAAAATCCATAGCCTTAAAAATCGCTAGGAATATTCGGATGGAATCTTTTGATTTTGAATCACCCAATGATGAGGAGATGGCCTACCTAACTAAAAAATTCAAAAAAAATGTTTAGAAATAAGAAGAAGCCTCAAGAGAGACAAAGAGGTGGCCCGAGTGAATCTAGGAAGAAATCTAAATCCGTGAGATGCCATAACTGTCGCGATTTCGATCATGTGAGGAATGAGTGCCCTAGTGCTAAGAGATTTGAAGAGAATGCTGTGAATCCTACTCTCACTGATAACGAGTCTAGCTCGAAAAATCAGAGTGAGAAATCCACCCGTGAGGAGAGTGGAAAATATGTGGCCTTCGTTGCTAGGAGTAAAAGTGGATCCGATCAGGGGAGTGAAAAGACAGAGGACTTAGATAGTTGTGAAGATTCTGGTCATGAGAGTGAAAGTGTAGAAGATCTAGAAATAGCCTATGATAGAATGTATGAGGAAAGCCTCAAGATTTTAGCCACTAACCAGGCAATGAGCAAGAAAGTGAAAGAGCTTAAGCTAGAGAAAGAAGAGTTAGAAGTCCGTGTTAGTGATCTCACCAATAAGAATGAGATGTCCTCTAGGAGAGTAAGTGAGCTGACCATTATGAATGAGACCTTAGCTATTCAGGTTAAACACCTTGAGAGTGAGCTAGAGTTGTCTAGGTCTCAGTTACTTGTCTTTTCTAGCAGTTCTGAAAGGCTAGATAATATTCTAGGAAGAGGCAAGCCGGCTAGTGATAAGGGAGGTCTAGGTTTTGATCTGAATGTTGCTGGTACATCACATACCACCTTTGTTCGTGCTACTGACCAGCCATACATTGTGAGTAACCCCATACCAAATGTTGTGGGAATTTCAGGACGTAGGTCTACTAGATGTCATAGGAACCATCGGCCTAGAAATAGAAATCGGCGTAAGCAAATCACAGGTCCTAGGTTTATCCCTACATGTTTTCACTATGGATAGTTAGGTCACATCCGTCCTAAATGTCATCACTACCTGAACAATAGGAAAGACTTGAGCTTAAAAAAGAACAAAAATCAAGTGTTTGTTAGCCAGATTGGATTCCTTACTGATCAAGTAAATCGTTTGACTCAATTGGTGACACAACTGTCTGGAAACAATCCTCGCTCTAGACAAGTTTGGGTAAAGAAAAGCAATCTCCCAAATTTGGTTAGAGATCGTGGTGCTCTTAAAGGAAAGAACACTTGCATACCTACTTGATTAGGCATTTTTATGCATGTTTGGCTCTTAATTGACATATAGTTGTTGCATGCATTACATGTATATTTTTTGTTTTTTTTGTTTTTCATGCATGTGCATTTTCACTTACGAGTTTTGGCGCATGTATGTTTATTTTTGTCTTTTTGTACTTGACTTTATTTTACTTTGTGTGTGGAGTATTCATTTTAGAAAAAACGAAAAACAAAAAAACATTGAAAAATTGAAAAAGACAAAAATAGTTGGTTATGGAAATTTCTACAGCATAACACATGACTTAGAGTTTGCACGTTGTATCATGTAGGAGTTAAAATTGATAAGTTATAGAATAATTTTTATTACTTGGTTAGGTCTAGTTGGATTAATATGTGTAAGTGTCTTCATGAACCATCTGCAATGCACACACTATGAATTTGTCAGTGGGATGCTACCGCATGTGTGAGATTTGGTATGACTGTCACATGTTGACGGGGTGACTTTGAATATGAATTGACCAATTTCTGTAGACTTTAACCCAAAAATTTCCCCCAATTTTAAATGCTCATATCTTAATATTCTTCTTCAGGACCTATTTAACTCAAGCAATTAAGCATGCGGGGTCTCTTAAAACTTGGTGCCTATGGTCAACTGACTTGGGTTAACCGGCCTAAAGCTCGCTACAGGGGTCATTTTAGTCGCCTAATGGAGAAGAACCTGCACTTAAGATGAAAAATTAATGAGCTGGAGAAATAAAAAAATATATGAAAAATATAATGAGCTGAAATACTTTGAAAAATTGAAAAACAAATAAGCTCATAGTAAAGGAAAAATAAGTAAAAATAATAAGTATAAGTCATACTACGCGTTACATAGTTTGACTCTCATTAGTAGGAGAACATACTTATTAGCAGTGATTGGCATGTCCCTTCTCACAAAATTAAGGTTTGGAGTCCTGCTTGCATTGGATCAGTGACACTTTACACACATGAGTCACTTATATTATTACTCCATTTTGGACTGAACTAAATATGTGGGAAGTTATACTACTTGTTGGTTTTGCTTTTGCATGCTATCAATTGAATTTTTTATTATTAAATGTTATTGCTCGACTTGGCCTTAATATATGTCCCTTCAGCATTTGTAACAAAAAGGGGGAGAGAAATGTGCAACTGAGGGGGAGAAAAAAAATAATGATTGAGCATACACATAGAAATGTTATTGCTCGACTTGGCCTTATTATATGCATGCACATGACGTCATTGATTGTTATCACTTGCATTGCATTGCTATGTCTAGGAGTCATTGGGGAGAGGCATAGATACATTTACCTACTGCGTAAAAACATGAAAACTAGTAGTAGTGGGGAGCGTTGCATTGCATTCCATATCACATCCAACTGTTTGAGTTTTGATGTTTAGTAATGTTGGTGTCTTGGTTGGTGTTTTGATTAGCATCAATATCACCTCTCAAACTGTGATGTTGATTTTTGATTAAGAGCTTTAATTAATTTTTAAATTTCTTGTATCACGTGCTTTTACACTGGGTATATGAGTTTGTGAATTTCAGAAAACAGGTACACAAAGGAAAGCAAGACTCAGTATTTGGGTTTACTGGGTAGTTTAATTTTTGGTTGTCAAGTCCTAACTTATTTTTTATTGTCCTGACTTCATTTGAAGAGTTTTATCACAGAATATCAAAAGGGGAGTTTGTTAGGTCTAAAGGTGTAATTGCCAATTCTGTGGGCAAAAGGACTAAATTGTAAATTTGTAAAAGTCAGGGACTCAATTGTACAATGTTATAGAAGTTAGGGACTTAGGGTATAATTTAGCAAAGCTAGATGGTAGGGACTAGAGTTTGAGTGTTTGGTTCAAATCAAGGTCGCGACGTCGAAAGTTCGCTAGCTGTTCGCCCTGCCACTACTCGAGCAAGAGGAAGCAGAATGGTCGTCGCTTGCTCGCTGCTTGATATTCGCTCTAGTGAAGTGGCGTCGCTCGCTGTTCGCTTGAGCAACGGTGTTATATGAAAATTCGTATTTTCGATTTCTGAAAAGTTTGACACGGGCTAAGACTCCTAATTGCCCCCAACTATAAATACAAAGGCCGTGAATGTGAAAGAGTGATTGCTATATTGTGCTTTATATAGATATCATCTTCAATATTCTCTCAAGTGATTCAAGGCAAAACTGAACAAGGAATTCATCTATAAATACCTTGTGATTCAGGCAATCCAGAAAACATCACTATTTGTGAAGAAAAAACACCTGGACTTTTTCATCTGTTGATGAAGGGACTCTTTCATTGGGAGATTGAGAGAAGTGGACGATAAGCGTAGGAACTGGACAAGAACAGGAGGTTCTTAAAATTTCACTTTGTAATACAATCAGCTAAAGACCAAGGGGCTATATTGGACAGCCAATTGGGCTGCAGGAGGTAGACCGGGAAGCTAGCAGGAGACTAGCAGTGTCTACGGCAGTAAATCGTGATATTGGAACAAGGGGTCTAACTTGGTAAGGAGTTTGGCATAACTTGTACTAACTGGATTTGTATAGTGGAAACTACTGGCTTGGCCCGGAGTTTTACCCACGTTTAGGTTTCTTCGTCATCATATCGTGAGTTGTGTTTTGCATTGTTTTATTTACTTTACGCAAACCGACACTTCAACATAGGAATTAACTGGACTGTATGTTTAAACACCTAGACAATTAATTAAAGTGACGTGTTGCTTTAATTAATCAATTTCACAGTGAGGTCGAATAATGAATTGATTGGAACGTAAACTTGGTAATGTCTAAAACTTGAATTTGACGTAACATAACATTCTCCTTGAATTTCCAAATGGTTGTAGAACGTTCCCTGAACTTTCAAATATAAAAAAGGATAGAATCCTCAAGACTAAAAACACCTATGTAAGAGAACCATTTTTAATTGTCTCTTGTCCATGAGAAAAAGTTTCCATGTAGATTGTTATGTAAGCAGATAACTGGGACTAGGCGTACTTCTGAAACAATTCTATAACTTGGCTAATTCGTTTGGATAACCAACACAATCGTATATAAGAGGCTAACAACTCCTCTGTTTCCCCCAGCCCTTCTTTCAAGCCTGTGCATATGTATTAATCTAAATTTTAGTTTCCAATTTCACATCTTACCTCATGGCTCCTCCTCTTACTCCATTTTCTTTCAGGGGTTTTTCACTCGAGGACAAGCAGCATTCTTCTGTCACATTTCGACCTCATGGAGTTCAATTCTTTCCGGCTCTAGTACAAGTTGAAAGAAAAATTGGATTACTTGACAGAGCTCATAACAAGATCTTTAATCTCAGAAATATTTTGTTCATTTTTCCCCTAACAATATTTAGACATGACGGCCCAATTTATTTAAGTTCTCGAACCAAGCATTAATATGACTATTCAACAATAAGGAATCTTACTCCCCAATATTCTGAAGGACTATTCCAGAAACAAAACAACATTAAACCTCTATGCAGTCCAAAAGGTACTTGACTCAACAACACAGAAACTGAATTTTAATTTTTAACTTAAGAGCATCAATTCCAACAGATCGAAGCAACACTGAGAAAGGTCTATACATATTCTATTTGTCTTGTGCAGAACTATGACGAGTACATCGTTCTGTTTGACTATGAAATTTCTTATATGTGGAGATCTCCTTCCACTTTCTAGTTATTTTTAGATCTATAAAATAAAAACTCTTACCCTTTCAATTTTACACAAATTTTACCTGCAATCTTGACTTTTCAAGCTGCTCCAATAGTTTTTTCTCCTAAATTGTAAAAAATTACAGATATTAATCAAATCATAATTAAATTAAGCCCTTGTTTGATTTTAATTCTGACTCACTTAGTCCCACATTCATTTGCAACAATACAATCTGAAAAACAAATGATATTTTCACGTTTCAACGCATTATTTTCTTAAACAATCATTATCAACCGAGGACTGGAATGTGTGCAATCAAGAATCCAAATATTTGTCAAGATAATATAAATACCTTTTCATATTGACAGACAACATCCCTTCAGTAAGTTGATGCTTCAACTGTTGTAACATAAAATAAGTTTTAGCCTTTCAAAAACAAAACCTTTTAATTTTCAGATTTCTTTTCTTAATTTTCTAGTTTTGGCTTTAATCAAAGATTTAATTAAAACATTAAAAACCTTAATTCTAAATTTAAGTTATATTTGAGTTGATTAATCGTGCGGGTTGATATTTACCTATAAAAAGAGGTGATATTTCATTGAATAAATTAACTAGAAAAATACTAGTTGAAGGATTATATTCTCTACATTCTCATACTATATTCCTATACTTCTGTTTACCGACAAATTCTCATTTTCATCTTCCTATGGTTGTGCCTATAGAAGGAGAATCAATTGTGAACTATATGAATTTTATCTTGAAGTCGTATAATAGCGAAAGTATACCCATTTGGTTTTATGTTTGAGCATATTGATGTTGATTATCATTGATTTATGTTTATTTTCATTTATAGGATTACTCATCGAACATGGGTTGTATTGAAAAAAGAAAAAAAATTGCATTTTTTTCCATTTACATTTTTTTTTAATCGGAACTTTCAAGTTTATTGATAAACCCTCATTTGTGGTGGAGGAAAACAGTGGTTACAATCAATTAAAAAAAAAAAAAAAAGAGCAAATTACATTTTTCTAAACAAAGGCAACCAACTGTAGAAACAGCGAAACTAGAGACTGATGCATTGAAATCTGAATGACCTTTAGATCCAAGACACACTAAAGAATTAGCCACTTGATTTGCTTCACGATAAATATGTGATATTTCAATAGATATAACCTAAGCAAGCTCTAATATATCCTTCCAAATTAGCTGAACAGCCCAAGTATGGTAACATAAGATAAAACCAATGAGCCACCATGCTAGAATCCGTTTCTATAGCAATCATCTCTATGCCAAGGACATAGCATATTGGAAGCCTATCTTAAGAGTTGATACCTTCGCTAAAGTGTTAGCAACTAACCTAAAAGAAC